TCCTGGCTGAATCCAGCACAGGAGGTCAGCTGGCAACCACTCAAATCCCAGGATTTTGCTTGTCATTAGTAGTTCCTGTGTTTTCACGAATACACCTGAGCTTTGCAATACCTTTTCCCTTACTACCAGGACCAGTTCACCTGCCCAGACGAGTACGAGGACCCGGCGGTTTTGTATGAAGCCATCCAATCTTTTGAAGAAAAGGTGGTGATATGTCACGAAGGGGACCCCGCCTGGCGCAGCGCGGTGCTCTCCAACAGGGAGGAGCTGCTAACCCTGCGACACGTGGTAGATGAAGGAGCCGACGAATATAAAGTTATCATGCTCCACAAAAGCTACTTGAGCTTCAAGGTTATCAAGGTACGTACACCCTCGTCTTTGTAACACTGCAGTGAGTTAGGGCTGAATAACCTGGCCAAAAGGAGGGGCTGACCGTAGTTAGGGGGTAGGAGTTGGAGTAGGGGGTTGGAGCTTGAAAGAGCTCTTGCCAGTTGACTTCCATTTTTGCACCCATGTTTTTTTCTGTGGGAAGTGAAGTGTCTGGGGGTAGCCGCTAAAGTTCCTTAATCCTGTTGGTGCAAAGACGCGAGGTGTGCGCACGCAGCCGTGGTGCCGCATCTTAGGCAGCAAACGTTTTCACGTGATGCACGTTTCTAACCTACTCGCAGGTCAACAAGGAGTGCGTCAGAGGGCTTTGGGCTGGGCAGCAGCAGGAACTGATTTTCCTACGCAATCGTAACCCGGAGAGGGGAAGCATCCAGAACAATAAACAGGTCTTGCGGAACTTAATTAACTCTTCGTGTGATCAGCCGCTGGGATATCCAATGTACGTTTCCCCTTTAACCACCTCGTACCTGGGGACACACAGCCAACTGAGGAACATTTGGGGGGGACCTGTCAGTTTGGACAACATTAAAAAATGGTTCAGATCCAAATGGTTAAGGTAGGTGGTAAATTTTGGCCTTGCTGATAGAGACGCTGCAGTCTCCGTTCCACTGTGTGTTCTGTTACAGGGGAGGAATTCTGTGCTGTTACCTGTGAGCAAAAAAAGTAACTGCAGATAACTCAGAATTAACAAAATAGCCCTACAGATACAGCAGGAAGCAAATTCATTAACTCATTCCTGGCTTTCAAGCAAAGCTTTCTGCACATTCAACAAGATTCGTTATCAGATCAGTTAGCACTACAGACATTTCCCTTATTCCAGGGAATTTTGTTGTTGGTGCCTTGTAAATATGGATATCTTCTCTGTAACATGTCAGGCCTTCAGTAAACATGTTGGTGGGTTATGGTGGGTTGTGCTCCAAAGCTTTAGCAGTGTAGATGA